GTTCACTCTCCTGTGCACACACAAACACAAACACACACACACACACACACAAACACAACGGAAGCGTATCCGCGGCTGACCTTTGAGGAGGAAAGATTAATTACAGCTGGATCACGCTGACAAATCAGGTCAATCTAGAGCTCTAGAGGAACCATGGCGAGAACTAAAACCTCTGACGAGCCAGGAATCCAGAAACAGAACTGGTTCAATTTTTAATTAAATGATTTTCATTATGTTCGGCTGAACTAATGGTTATTGAGCATCTGCATTCTTCTGCTGATGTGGGACGAACACCGTACAGCAGCAGAGCACAAATGTTGCTTTAGCTGAGTTTGCAGCTTGAACTGAATGTGATTATAAACAAAAACACACAACTAATAACAGAATCACAGTAATATTGTGAAATATTATTACAATTTAAAAAAAATTCTATGGTAATAGATTTCCAAATGTAATTTATTGCTGTGATCAAAGCTGAATTTTCAGCATCATTACTCGTCTTCAGTGTCACATGATCTTCAGAAATCATTCTAATATTCTGATTTGCTGCTCAAGAAACATTTCTGATTATTATCAATGTTGAAAACATTTGTGCTGCTTCATATTTTTGGCTAATGTTTTTTTTTTCCCGTTTAGTATAGATTAGCTCTATTACACTGAAAAATGTAAAATCTAAAATAATTGGCTTTATTCAAGACAAAAATATTATTTATCATAACCAGTGTTATTGCAGTATTAGTTATAGTTTTTTTTATTTTAAATTAGAATACATTTTTATACTGTCTGTTTTCACTTTAATTTCAAACTTTTAGTAATTTTGTTGTTGTTTTTTGTCATTTTCATTTGTTTTGCCTTTCTTTTAACAGTCTATATAGTATTTATTAATTTTTATTTAGTAGTTTTAGTCTATTTAGTTTTAGTTATTTTAGTACTTAAACTTGAAATGTAAATGAGAAACGATGCCTTGGCAACTAGCTGAAATAAAATAAGATTAAGGGTTTTTTATATTTTATTTGATTTCAGTTCATGTTTGATGATACACAAACCTGTCAAATACACAGACTATTCTCCTGCCTAGAGTACACTAGTGAGATCAATTCAAAACACTGCTACAAAAACCTCCTTTTGGGAAACCGGAATTCTTTTGCTAGTCAATGTCTGTTACAGTATATGACATAAATAGAGGTGTGCAGATACAGTAAAATTCAGCAATAAACTTTAAGAAAAGTTTACTGTCATTACACTACTGTAAAGAGATCTTACAGTAAATGAAAAGCACTACAAGAGAAAAGTTCAAAAACCAAACAACAGAATCTACAGTAAACACACATTGTAATATACTGTCAGTTACTTTACAGAAATAAATAAATAAATTCATTCATGCATCCATTCATTCATTCAGCATCCTAAACCAATTTGCATTACAGTATTGGTAGTATCCTTATTTGTTATAGTAGTTTCTTAAGTCTTCTGACAAAAGACTTCTCTGCCTCCTCTAGACAGTCGTCTCTCAGTTCTGCACAAATACAGTACATACTTGGCTACAAATCAATTCAACAATAATGAGTTTGAGGGTGTACAACATGTGCTACAGTATTTACTGTACATAGAATAATGAAAGTTCTCTCATCTGAAGTA